ACTTCCAGAGTTGGGCCAAAAAAAGTCCAAACTTGTGATGCACCGCAAAAATGGCAACCAAACCCAAAAAGTGACTAAAATCCCCGCACTCGGGACGTGAGCCATACCACGCGCTACCCGTTCGCCCAGTGCTGTGGGCAATGACCACGCAGCCACGTTTCCACTCCATCAGCCAAAGTTACCACATAGCCACGCCTGGATGGGGCAAAGCATCCTTCCTCAGATTCATCAGGCTGTGCCATCTCAAACACCTGCTGAGCAAATTCAAATTGCACTGCTTCTGCTGGTAGCCCCAATAGCTCCAGCATTGACTCCCACAGTGGAGCCCATCCAGCGCTTGAAGTTCGGAGGAAGAGGAAGTCCTGATGGTAGAGTATGTGGTTCTACAGGCTTTCCTGTGGTCAACAAGAACCTCTCAACAACCGGCAGAGCCATTGATGACGTCAAAGAAGGCCGATGGATGTGCGTTGCCCACCCAGCACAGGTTGACAACAGCGTCGCAGGAAGTTGAAGCTGAAGTCACCAGCTTCACAGAGCCCGCCCTGTGGGAGCGCTGCGCCAGCGACTTTCAACAGTGTCTGAGCGGGCACTTTCCAGGCTGCGTTCATTTTGCCACACTCCTGAATCTAGATGAAAGCTGTCGCTTCCTGAAGTACATGGGCCTGGCAGCGACTGGTAAAGGATTTGCCTTAAGACGAGGAACTCGTCGATCTACTCATCCTTTTTTTGTAGAAGTCCATGCGCTGCGCTTTGAGCTTGAAGATGCACTTGAGAAGGAAAACAGAATTGCGCGCTAATCTGGACAGAAAACAGCACCAGCCCAGTGTTGGTGGTTACCGATTTTTTGCAGAGCATGCTCTTGCCAGCGCTGTGCCAAGGGGGACTCAGCAAAATGACGCGACTAAACTCGCTGTCTGGTCTTTTCCTGCGGCGCGTCTTCCCCCGTTTCTTGTTTTGTTCTGTGCTTGTGTCACATAATCCACTCATGCAGCAATCTCCTGCGCCATCAGCGACGACCCCACTTCGGTTGTGGAGTTCCACAACCGCCTGATGAAGCTATGCTCCATTCCGTACAAATGCCTGATGCAAAAGGTCGCCGCCAAAGCCGGTAAGCAAGGGCCTGCTGGACAAAAGAGAGGCAAGCTTGAGGCGGCTGACGCCCAGAGGCTGCCGCACTTGGAAGAGCCCAGCGCAGGTGCTGCTGCCAAGAAACCGTGGCTAGCAAGTAGCCAGTCGCTCGGCTTCACGAACTGCTGACGCGGCTGCGCCATATATGACATATGACCAAAATGTCCTCGCTTGCTCGAAATGGATTGTGACTTGGCCTCATTTTGGGAGGCTTGAGGGGGTGGCTCACTTGCGCGAAATGGATTTGATTCTTGCGCGAAATGGATTTGATTTGGCCTCATATTGTTGGGAGGCTCGAGGGGTTGTGCTCGCTTGCGCGAAATGGGTTTGATTTGGCCTGATTTTTGGGAAGCTCGAGGGGTTGTGTCACTTGCGCGAAATGGATTTTGACTTGGCCTCATTTTTGGGAGGCTTGCGTCTTGCACGACATGGATTTGATTTGGCCTCAGTTTTGGGAAGCTCAACGGGTTGCGCTCACTTGCGCGAAATGGATTTGATTTGGCCTCAGTTTTGGGAAGCTCGAGGGGCTGCGCGACATGGATTTGACTTGGCCTCATTTTTGGGAGGCTTGAGGGGTTGTGCTCACTTGTGCGAAATGGATTTTGATTTGGCCTCAGCTTGGGAGGCTTGAGGGGTGTTCTCACTTGCACGAAATGGGTTTGATTTGTCCTGATTTTTGGGAGGCTCGAGGAGTTGTGCTCACTTGCGCGAAATGGATTTGATTGGTTTCATTTTTGGGAGGCTCGAGGGGTTGAGTTCACTTGCGTGAAATGGATTTGATTTGGCCTGTCTTTTTTGGGAAGCTCGAGCGGTTGTGCTCACTTGCGCGAAATGGATTTGATTTGGCACTTGCGCGAAATGGGTTTGATTTGGCTTCATGTTTGGAGGCTCGAGGGGTTGTGCTCACTTGTGCGAAATGGATTTTGACTTGGCCTCATTCTTGGGAGGCTTGAGGGTTTTGTGCCCACTTGCGCGAAATGGATTTGATTTGGCCTCAGTTTTGGGAGGCTTGACTTGCGCGAAAAGGGTTTGATCTGGCTTCATGGTTGGAGGCTCGAGGGGTTGTGCTCACTTGCGCGAAGTGGATTTGACTTGGCCTGATTTTTGGGAGGCTGCTCACTTGCGCGAAATGGATTTTGACTTGGCCTGATTGAGGGAGGCTTGCGTCTTGCACGACATGGATTTGATTTGGCCTCAGTTTTGGGAAGCTCGACGGGTTGTGCTCACTTGCGCGAAGTGGATTTGACTTGGCCTGATCTTTGGGAGGCTGCTCACTTGCGCGAAATGGAGTTTGACTTGGCCTGATTGTGGGAGGCTTGAGGAAACTGCGGCTGCTCCCATAAAGAATTGCGGCTGCCTTGTTTGTGAGGTGGACCCTGAGTTGGCTTTGCCTTGTGGGAGGCTGCCGCTAGATGATAAAGCTTGTGCAATGGGCACTAAGTTGGTTTGCTTGAGGGGGTTGTTTACGAGCCCGGAAGCTTGGCTTGTCTGCCCTGGCATGTCTTGTGTTTGAACAAGACGTTTCTTGTGACATGGATGCTGATTTGGTTTGCTTCATTTTTGCAGGGATTTGTTTGTTTGTTGTGGTAAAAAGCGAGGTAGGTCAGGGCCACCGGCCCCGTCCGCCGCACTTGGGCTCGCAGAAAACAGAACCGTTAGACCTCGGAACCCCAATGCTCCGTCAACCTGTCAATCCGTTCGCCTGTCCAGTCCGCCCCCTCAACTTGTCTGCAGGTTGAGCACGTCGTGTCCGTCGGTCCAGCCTGACGAGGTCCGAAACCCGTCACCAATGAACCCCGGGTCGGGCCCGTTGAGTCGGGCTGGGCCCGTCAGGCCCGTCGGTCCCGTCGGGCCTGTGAACGGTGAGCGGCCGCTTCTCTGAAAAGCCTACAATTTCCACCAAGTACCCTAGGGGTTCAACCCACGAAAAGAAAAAAGACGACACCGAGTGAGCAACCCAGCCGTCGCCTCCCAACAAACCCGCCTCGGCGGCTGCGAAGCCCTGGCGCAGGCGCAGGCGCCGGCGCGCCTCTGCCAGCAGCGCCGGGTCCAAGGCGTCCTAGGCGCGATGGACTTCTTCCAATTTGCTCAAGCCCCCTGTGCAATAGTGACAGATTCCCTTTAAAACCAACTGGGCCGAAAAAAAAAATCTTAAGCAAATGGAAGATTTGGCGCCGGGGGGCGACAGAACCATCTACGAAATTGAAACGGCGGCCGCAACCATTGATGGCTGGGCTTGCCCCCTCCTAACCTTCATGCACACGGGTTTCGATTGTGACCCACATGCAGAAACCTCGGTGGCTTTCGGAAAACTCCCCTGCTAAAAGTGACTAACTTTTAGTGGGTTTAATGGAAAACCCAGTAGTTGGCAAAAAGTTAAAGTCCTAACATCCCTTGGCAAAATGCACCAAAGAGAAGACACCCCACCCCAAACAATGGATGTCTTCCTTTGGGAGAAATGCACCGCCCCCCAGAAAGATGGAGGAGAATTGGAGCAGGATGGAGGAGAATTGGAGCAGGATGGAGGAGGATGGAGGAGGATGGAGGAGGATGGAGGCGCACCAAGAAACGTGCGATCGCTGCGAGAGATGCAGGCAATGAGACATGGAATGACCCGGAAAAAAAGGCATCTCCGATTTGGCTGCTTTTATTCGGGGATCCCCAGGTTCACTCCCTCGTTCCCTGCTGAACACCTGCAACAAAATGGGGATGCGTTCCTTTTGGATACGTGAGTTTGGCTCGAAGAGGATGTAAAATGGTGGTGTTTCCCTTCAATAACCCGAAATTCATATCCACCAACCCTCCAAGCAAGGTGGTTCTTAAAGCTTGGACCGTGTTCCTGAAAAAGTGGAAGGGGTTAAGTGGGCCCTCGCCTTTTCGACAACAGCTTGCCGAGAGACAAGCTTCTTCTGCAGCTTCGCCAGTTTTGGACGTGTGGCCTGGCCGAGTGGCCGAGGGAAAAAAAGAAACGCCTCTGGGTCTAAAAAACGGCCATGACTAGAACCCACTTGGATTTACCACCAGTGGGTTGCAACCATGGATACTAGCCACCTAGGTCAGTTTTGGACCATCTAAGTAACTCAAGAGGTGCGTGTGACCCCGTTTCATCCTGAGCTGCTTTTTCAATCTTCATGGGGACTGCAACAAGTCTAAGTCATGCCGTGAGCCGTCACTGCCAACCTGGGCTTTCTTTGAGAGCACCTAGAGTGGTTCGAACGCCAGTGGCAAGGGGTCTGTATATACAAATATGTAGTATATATATATATATATATACACATATGATTGCACATCAAACAGAATGAAAAGGCCTGGGTGGGCTCGGGTTCCCATCTTGCTCCTGAAGGCTCAACAGAACGAAGCCGGGTCAACCTCCCTTCCCAATTGTCAGGGATTTTGTTGGAGCAAGGCTCCCGCTTTTTGGACCTATGGACATATATTGCAAATTCAAAAGAGCCCAAAGTAGCAACATGTCCAGGTCCTCCTAGAAGGGTAGTTAGCATACGGGTACCAACTTTCTTCTGTAGTCTATTTTAGTAGGGGAACCCTCCCCAAAAAAAGGGTAACAGGGCACTACTGGGGGACCTACATGTGCTAACTCAAACCACCAAAAAGGAACATAGTTTGCGACCACCACAGGAACAGACTCTGCGAACCCTCCTCTGAGCCGGGCCTTTGCTTCGATGGATGCGGCCACGCGCACGATTTCATCTTGCCTCAGGTGCTCCATGTGACGTGGTCGAAACTCATGCGGATGCGCCCAAGATGAGCAGATCAAACCCAACAGGGATCCTTACATTATACACCTGACCATTGCCTTGTAAATGGTGGTTCCCCTTTATTTTGGTGTTGAAAAAGCCATGTTTCAAATGAGCGACTCTATAAACCTCCCATGAATCCCTATGTCGTATCAAGTTGCTTACGCGCAAGCTTGCGCTTTCCTTACGCGACCCATGTTTTGGCTTACGCGGCAGTCAGACAGCATGTAAAGCTTACGCATCGCTTACGCGTCGGCGTTTTGAGCGTTTCCCCTCAAGAATTGCTTACGCGGGCTTCTTTTCCCGTGCAGCCGCCAGAGCTGTTGAAGATGATGTGGATGACTGTGTGGAAGAGATGACGAAGAACTACGCTCGCAAGCTTCAGCAGCTTGGTGTTGTTGTTTTTGCTGCAAATCAAGAAACAGGCTTTTGCGGTAGCGGCATCCATCACGAGGGCTAGCGGGGCAGCTGAGCTAGGCGAGCTTACGCGAACCTTACGCGCCTGCTTACGCGAGCTTACGCGCCCGCGCCCCTGTAGTTTTCCTAAATCAGCGGCTACTGAAGCCTTTGTTTGTCCTAGTGGAGGTTGCGACAGCACCTAGCATGAGCCCCAAGAGCTCCCAATCAAAGTTCTGCTGATTTTTTCTCCTAATGGTGCGCGCATGCGGTCTTAGACGTCTTCCTGCAGCCAAAGTCCTCCGGGCAAGTTGCCAAGCTCGACTAGGTTGCAGCACAAGCCACCAAAAAACGCATAAGCACATGTGGGACAACTCTTCCGAGCATGCTTACAAAGCTTACTAAGCAATCACGAAGAAGAGCTTACGCAGGTGCTTACGCAGCATGTTTCCTCAAAAAGTGCTTACGCCCGCTTACACCGTGCAGGCTTTGGCTTACGCGGGGCGTTGTTATGACACAACTCTTGCTTGGCATGTAACGGGGGGTTTTTAGAGCTGCTCAAATGGTTGCAAAATGTATCTTTTAAGGAGCCCGGCCCAAATTGCTCCCTTTGGGAGCATTGACCCAAACAGTGAACAAACACTCGCCCCTCGGAAGGGTGCTCTTCCCGAATTCCCATCCAAAGTGGTCCCGTGGAGTTGCCTGGGAATTGCCCCATGTGAGTCACAATCAAAACCTGGTACAAAAATGGCGGCTGGGACTGCCCCTTCTAATTAAGCTTCATCTACCCGGGTTTTGATTGTGGCTCATGTGATACCCAAGGCCTTCCGAAATGTTCCCCCAATTCCCACAAGCCTCAATAGTTCCTTCAATTTTGTTGCTGAAGTCCCCTGGAACAAACAATGGTCCAGTAGTGAAATTGATTCCCTCTAACAAAAAACCAACAGGGGAAAAAAAAAAACAAAAAACAAAAAACATTCCGTTCAGCAAACTGAAGGTTTCCCCATGTCAGACCGCCACGTCCCGAGATGGTATTGTATGCAAACTAGGTACCCCCTGAATGGTTGACTTCCTGTCAGGTTCCCTTTGAATCCGACCAAAAGTGGATTGCCCGACAAACACACGCCGATTTGACACAACTCACCTGATCACAAGACAAACTGCCATGTTGTCTGTCAGGTCTTGATCACAATGTCATGAGGCACATGATCTTGGTTAAGACTGTTAGAAATCATTGGAAGTGATTGGTGGGAACATCACTCAGTTGGAAGCCAGTTGGCCACAGAGCCAGCATAGTAGCAATCGTATGGGTGTGGGGCTGTTTTGAGGGTCCCCCAAAGAAATGGTGGCATTCCTTTTGGTGTCTCTTGAAAATAACAAAACAACTACCCTAAAAAAGGACACACTCACGTAAAACATTGGTTGGAGTTCAAATTATCAAGAGAACGGACACGAGCAGCACACTAGTGGACGTCACTGCGCCTGTATGCGCTTTCCGCACAGGCTGCACTGGTAGATTTGACACAGGATACACTTGCGTGGGCCAAACTGTTGCTTCCTCCCTCCCCTGAAGCCAGCTCTAGTGTATTGCTGAGGTCTCTCCCCAATTGCCAAAAGACCCATGTTTTTGTTTATCGCCAGTGTCACTTGGCTGCGCGCATGGAATTCCTCCTCGACTCTGAACAGCCAAAACAGCCTCCCCGGCTGTGGTTTGAAACCACACCCCAACATCCACCACAAGCCCGAGGAGAACCTCCCGAGAACCTCCCTCAGTTTCTAAGACCCATAGGGCTGTGGGTCAAAAAAAAACAATAAACTAATGGGATCCCATTTTGGTTGGTAGGTAAATTAAACACCAAAATTTGGGAACCTGTTTTAGTGGTTGGATTGAATCGGATGTTCACTGGGGGAACGAAACTTGGATTTTGACCCATGGCCCGTAATAGCTTCCGGCTGCTTTTTGGCTGTTTGAGCAAAAAATAATACGCCCTGGCGGCATGCCCAACAGCAGCCCAGCCCCCTAGAACCCTTGCAAAACCCTCCCAAGCCGCTCCGAACCACTCCGGAGCCGGGCAAGGGTCCCATAGCCTTCAGCTCTTGGCAACAGAAAACATAGGGAGCGCGCGTTCTGCCCCACAGCCAACAGCCTTTGAGCGAGGCAACGAAACAAGCAACGCTTGATGCTGAGCGGCTCAAACTTCAGGCCGCACTTTCTGCACATCCAGGAAGCTTGGCGAAAGGTCAGAAGGCAGGTGTGGCACACCTCAGTTTGCCGAGACGGGAGACTCAGATTCCCAGTGGGTTTCCATGGGGACAAAAGGGCATCCTTTTTTGCCTGGTTGACTTCAAAGGGGACCCCTTCCCCAAAAAAAGTAAGAACGGGCGCCTCTGGGCAACAGAGGATAGACTGCCACTCGTCTCATGCTCGAAAAGAAAACTGGGTGCAGTCTTTGGATCAGAATGCGACCGAAGGTATGAACCGCATTTGGGAGAACAGTCCTGATGATGCCTGCCACGGCCCACGCCCCTCAATCTACGGGCAACGCAACCTATGCGCATGTGTAGGTGTCACGTTCTGGCGGAGATGCCCTAAATGTCGCAAAAACAAGGCAAACCCTGTGAAATGCCCTGCAATTTTAGAAGTTGATGGTGTCCTGCAGCGTCAAGCGGTCACTTTTTTTGTTCAACTAAGGTGCAGGGTGGTTTTAAGATCTCAATTTCTCTCTTAGGCTCGCAGGGTCCAAAAGAAGCCCTCGCATCGCCAGCACCTGAAAGCCCTTCCGCCGTCGAGCCATGCCGGAGAGGGGCCCGGTGTGCGTGTGTACATCGGAAAACCCTTATACCAACCACTCAAAAGTTGGCTTGTAACTCGGAAAACCCTTACCAACCACTGAAAAGTTGAGCCTGAAGTGGTTCGCCAATTCATGGTGTGGTGAATTTGGGGATTCGGCCCCACGGCGCTTCGGGTGTTTTCAGCAAATTTTCCGAGGCGCCCAATGTGTTTCGGCCTGCTCGGGCTCCGGCTCCTGGCGTTTTTCTGCGTTTGGGCCAGGCGGGAGGGACCCCAACGAAGGCTGAGAGCTGGGCTACGTCCCGAGAAATGGCGTCGTTTTCTGGAGTTGGTACAAAAGCCAAAGGAGAACTAAGGACAAAGGTTGGACTTTTTCTCGGAGGCTGGGGGTGGGATCCTTCCTCCATGTTCCTTTTTGTGCGCACCCAAGGGGGGACACCAATAAAAACAACACGCTGCAGCCTTGCAAGGCACATCAAACAACCTCAAACAAGTGAGCAACTTTTAGAACCAGCGCGAGTAGAACCTGACACGCCCCTGGAAAAGCTGTTCCTAGACTTTCGGAAACAAATCTTCAGACAAGTATCACCGGCCACATGAATGGCTCTCACACATAAAGTCTTACCTCACCGGCTGGCTGCAACATTTGCAAGCACAACACGTTTCAGATCAAACAATCACCGCTGCACCTGGGCATCCAAATGATGTGCGTTGAACATGTCGAACTGACTTGACTGTGTTGGTAGGAAATTCAAGTCACTAAGGTTTCAGGACAAGCTCCCGACTCCCTACACATTCTGACGGATCTTTGACATCGAAATCCAGTTGAGGAGCCTCCAGCATCCATTGATTCGGGTTCTACCAAGCTGGCAGCTAATATGGAACCTCACACATAAAGTACAAAATGTAAAACCACCTTTTAAAACCAAAACAATCCGCATGAAACCGACAACGAAAGCCCTGTGCTCCCTTACATGAACACCAAGGGGCGTTGTGCTCAATCCCGTTTGACCTGAAGAGTGTTGACTGGACGAAAATTATCTTTTGGGCCTTTACTTGAAACTCAAGATGGGGCCCACCAACAACACTCAACGGTAAAGTTAGGTAGTTAAAACTTGGGGGTCTGAAATCGCCAAACAGGTTCTCCAGCTTGCCACCCCAACAGCTATGCTGGCTGGCAACTGGAACATCTGGTTGGTAAGTGGGTAAATGGTTATCCCCTCGTTTGCTCGTCCCCTAAGGCAGCACAAACCGAATCTTTCAGCTTGCCAATCCAACAGCTATGCTGGCTGGCTGATTGGAAAACCTGGTTGGTAAGTGAATACATGGTCATGCCCTCGTTTGCTCCTCCCCTAAACCCAGGCAAGTCTTGGGCCCCTTTCGACCTATGGGCCCTTCCGAATCCGCTCCTCTGCCGTGCCTGGCAGTGGTTGCGGCTGGACTGGACCAAACCCAAGGCACAACCCCTTTTCAAAAGGGACAGGGTCACCAACATCCCCTTTCCCTTTAACGGGGTCACCTAGTTTAACTGGGACAGGGTCCCTTCAAAATGGACAGGGACAACCCATTGCAAAAGGGACAGGTTTAACTGGTCTGGGCTTTCGGAAGGTTTGGGAAAGGCGATTGGCTTCCTTCCTTTTGCCTAAAGCCACTTAAACGTGGGCTGAGGATTTATTGGCACCTAAGTTCAGGGATGGGCAACCCTATGCAGGACTCCCCAGCTAGTGCATCAGCGGCGGGAGAACAGCACGAGCAAGAAACAAACGTTGTTCCTTTAACTTGTGCTTTTCGGGAAATGAAGAGATGCCCTGAGCGTACCCGCTTTAGTCTCCTTTTCCCAGGCAGATCAAAGCGAAACCCCTGCAAGAAACTGACGGGCACTTAGACGCTCTTGTCGCGCCCTGTCTGTTTACCAATTTCCAACCATGCAGGTACGCACACGTCATGAGCGAATCAAGCCCACCAAATGCTGCATTCAGCAGCAAAGACATGGTGCTCCACATTTATCCTTAGCCTTTCAGCATGTCCGACCGTTTATGTTGATTGCCCAGCAAAAAAGGGGACGCATGTAAGCAACCTACAATATGATATCCAGTGTAGTCCCCTATTCCTCCCTCAATCTCTGATGATAGCATCGCGCATTCATGTAATTACGCGTGTGTTAGGCGTTCTACCTTTGAAGGGAAACCACCATGAAAACCACAGCCCAAATCCCTTTGACACATACCCAATGCCCGAGCCTGGCGTCTCACCTGGGCGCACATTGGGACCCACGAAACGGGCTCACATTGGGCTTTCCTTGTATGAACTCCCATCAAATGGAGCCATGACATATGAGTCTGCAAACGCGGGAACCTTGAAAGGCTGCGGCTTTGTTTGGCTTCCAGGCCATAAAGAGGGACCTGAAAGTCAACGAGTCCATAGTCGAGTGTCGCGGTCTCAGCCAGTTGGATGGTTCTTGTGGAATGCCTCTTTAGTCATATTGTGGATGGAATTTCCTTACACTGTCAGGATTCGGAGAGTGGCAACCGGCCTCTGGTTACCAAAAGTGGCTGCCACGAAGCCGAAAAAGCGAGCGGGCAGCTTCTGCTCCATGTTGCGTGGTTCTTACAGAGTGATGGTCTGCAATCTGCCGCTGAAAACACGAAGTGGCACGGGGATTCAACAACAGTGGTTCACAACTGTTCCACAATGCTTCGAAGGGATGCAGGGTGGCTTTGCACCCGGGCACCGACGCTTTCTGTAGTTGATTGTGAAGGGACCAGGTAAATGTTCTGGTGAGTGCAGTCGGATGGCACAATTGCCCCATGCTGGTTTCGTCATAAAGGGCGAAGGGAACCATCTACTCTTGCCCTGGTGCAATATGAAGGGCGAAATCAGAACTCATCATTGTCAACATCATGGCAACCCACTACTTGGCCCAAATATTACGAGTACACAGAAACATGATTGTGTGAGACACTTCGCGCACAGTATCTCGATATGCTTCCCTTGAAACCTTCCTCACAGGGAAGCTCATTCAGTTCACCAGCCGGGGAAAACAACAAAGAACAAAAACTCGAAACATGGAAGGTCATTCTTTTCAGCAGCTCATTCTTTTCACCAGCAAAGAACAAGTGATGGGTTCAACCCCAAAAAATGCCGAGAAAGAAAAAACAAACAAACAAACAAAAAAAATCAAGCGACGCGTTTACGAGGCGCGAGATGGAGTTCAAGCTGCCGCTTGGAGCGGCTAAGCCCCCGCGCCTCTTGGCGCGGAGTTGCCGATGGCTAAGGACCTCAGGCGACTCGAAACCCGGCAGGTGACGCGCGGGGGTTCGGTCAGACGTCCGGTCGGTGTCGGTTTTTTAAAACCTGAGGCCCATCCATCCATCCATCCATCCATCCATCCATCCATCCATCCATCCATCCATCCATCCATCCATCCATCCATCCATCCATCCATCCATCGGCAGAGCCACCAAGACCAAGAGAAGCAGCCCCACCAGCACAAAATAAGAAAAAATAGCGCCACTGGGCGAACTATGATGTTAAAATGTAACCCTTGGGAGTTGGTTGATGTCATTTTCTGGAGACGGTTTCGCTTGACCCGAGGATTTATCCTCGCATGGTGTGTTCATTGCTCGCCTCGCATGACCCACAGAGCACCGTCGGAAAAGCAAAGCTCAGCATGCAGAAACGTCTCTGAGATGCAGCAATTCCTAAGTGACAATCGAAATACTTCCAATGGGAAGGCATGTCGAAATGTTTCCAACATATCACATTCTTGCAGTGAGTTTCTCAATGTGTGTGGATACTTGAGCCAATTGGGCATCAATCGGAAAACTCTGCCTGACCCAAGACCTGATGGCTCAACAAACAGCCTATTCTGAGCCTTGCCGCCCTATGGGGGCGGCGGAACTAGGCTGGAGGCCATGCAATACGCCATTGGCCGCTTGTCAGGAAAAGGTGGCCGGGTTGATGATCAAATCGAAGCAGCCCATTTGTTCCCCCTCAGTTGCATGCTCCTATTCCAAGCACGGCGGTTGCTGGAACCATTGCTTTCAACAGGAAGCGCCAAGCCTAAGACCAGGACGACGGATGTTGCAGTGAGTCCTGGCTGTCACAAGCAAGCAAGAGCGACGGGCATGACATGCGCGCGTCACAGCGCGGCCGGGCCAAAGCAAAGTGCACCTGCCAACACGTTGTCCAGTGTACATGTACGGTTTGGATGAGCTTTCTGGACCCAATGCTTGAAAGTGTCAGAACAAACACAAAAAGGATACTCAAAACATACCTAACGGGGACAAGAAGGACATCCAACCAGTTTTGCAAAGCTTGGTGATGAAACGCCGCACCTGAAATCGAAGGCGTTCAATCTTTGTAGGAAGGTTCGGACCAAAATCGATATGAATGACTCTCATGGAATCGACATGGCACGGATAGAAATC